ATAACGCATTTTTGCCTAAAAACGGGACGCTTTGAAACACTGAAAGGTGGTCCTGTAAAGCCGCATGTGGGACGTTTGATTAACTGCCTTGCTGTTATGAATTCAAAACACAGATAATTGGTAGTAGAAATTGCATTTGTTCAAGGGTTACGAAGTTGATTTCTACAGCATAATCACAGTAAAAGAAATTACCTGTAAAAACAGAAAACTCAACAGTCTAATCTGACTGTTAGTTCGACATCAGAAATCCAGGTTATATTTCCTCATTTGCTGGTAACGACAAATAGTTTTCACGGAGTTATTTTTTCTCTTAGCGACCATCATATAAAACCTTTGCCACTGTCTTCCGGTCAAGCCATTGCAAAAGGAAAGGAATCGTTAGCTTGCCTTTTAGAAACAATTATACCACCAAAGCTTCTTTTTTTGATCTCAGCCACACACAAACAAGAAAAACTCAAGCGAAGAAAACAAAAGTTTAGCGAGGAGAGGAGAACCCGAATTAGAAAAACAGGTTGCAAGGGAAAGACTAAATTTTGAAATCACGGTACTATAATTAAGGAAGAATAAAGGAAATGCACGAGGTCAATCCCAGTCAAAACTCTTTTAGTGACAGCACTTTACAGGTTTACTTTTTTTAGCTTTTTGAAATTTAGAAGTTCTTATTGAAAGGCTTTTTGCTGAGTGTGATTTCCAAATAATGACTGCTTAACTGAGCAAGTTAAGTAGGAACAAAGCATAAAAGTTGTTCATTAGCTTTGTGAAATGCATATAAAGCGTACCGTTTCAATATAGTATTATAAGACGAGTAATTGTTAACTATCTAGAGATCTTTACTTGCGCAGTAAACGCTTAATTGGAGTGATCCAAACTGTTAGTGCAGTTAAACTGCATACATAGAAATGAAAGCTTTCAGTCACTTATTTCGGTCTAATTCTTTTTGATTTAGTTGTTTAGAAAAGTCATACTTATGTCATTTTGTATCAAATGCAGTTTTTTGGTTGTGATATGTAAGATGCTGACAGAAAAAGGAATACTTATTTTTGTTGTTATTGTATGAAATATTTTTTTAATATAAATCAAGACAAAATCTGCAACAATTTAAATGACAAAGTCTTTTACTACCTTTTTTTTCTTTTCTTTGAAATAATCTTTTTTCAAAATTTATTTGTCAAAAAATTTCTAAACTGATGAGTTATAAAAATCAAGAAAAAAATCATTTGAAAAATTGGAAGTGGTTGGAGACAAAATTGGTCATTTCACAGAAGATGTAAGAGAGTCCATCAAAAAAATTATGTTTAAACAGCTTTGGGTACAGCCTTTTGGTAACTCAATGATAAATCCGTACCGAGAAGGTGTAGGTAATGAGTTTTGGTTTCAGCAGCAGTTTAGGTGTTGTTTAAAAGTGAAAGAAAAGGAATAATTAAAGCGCTGTTCTCCGACAGATTTGTAACATCTAGAAAGATCAGTTACTTACCTATGTAAGTACTCTATCTATCGCTAGACTCATCGACTAAAAGGTTTAAGCTGCTGTTGCGAAGAACGTTCTGGCAAACTGTAATTTTCAGAAGCATAACCATTCCGGTTCAAAAGTTCAAAAAATGAAAGTTTTCAGATGTTATCATATAGAGAAGCTCATAGAGATAAGAATAAGGAGCTTGCTACAGCAGGTTATAAGATATTGAAAATATATCAGGGTACAAAAAGTGTTACACAGTTTATATGTTTTCAAAATATTGCTTTATGGCGATTTTAAAGATGGTAGCTTTATAAGGCATTTACTTTGGTTTTTTTGTGGTACCGAGCAAAATCATTTGGTTTGGTTAAAAAAAACTCTCTTATCAAAATTTATTTTAGATTATTAATTAAGAACTTAAAAATATTATATATCTGGTAGACTTGAAAATTCTTAAGTCCAAATCTTATCAGTACAAATGATTTAGAAAAGCGGAAAAAAAAAACCGTTGATAGTTGAACAACTATAAGTGTGCATTTTATAAACAAAGTCGAGGAATCTTCAAGTCATTTCAAACAATCGTATTTCCAAAAAGTTAAAGGCATCTTTCGGACAGACATTAAACTCTTGAACAATCAGAAATTGTTTAAACAATTTCAATTCATATAACACTGTTCATTGAAGATCTTTTAAAATTTTCATACTTTATCTGTATGAAAAAAACAGGGAAATAAACAACGCATTTTTGCTTTTTTTTTAAACTATTTGTACTGAATAAAGTGGACTTTAGTTTATGGTTTATAAAATTAACTTTTTTATGTTTGAATGCTATTGCAACACAAACCCAAAAATTTTTAAAAGTTTTTAGACAATTATCATTAAAACTTATGCTTGGAATCCATATAAAATTGTTTAGCCATTAAAATTTTTTTGAGATAAGAATATTCAAAAACTGTTCTGCTTAATTCACTTAACTACTTTTTTTGTTTTGTATCAAATATTGATAGATTAAAAATTTTTGCCGATAAAGATATTTTGCAGCATTCATTTGGTTTTTACTACTTTAAAAAGAATTTTAAGAAAATAAAACGATTATTTACAGATGACGATATGAAAGTTAATTTTGAAGTTAAAAGAAAAATTTTAGTTATTTGGCCAAATTTTTATTCCATTGTAGAGTATCGACAATTTTTGGCGTTATTTCAGCAACAACCGTTACTCGACGAGGTTGTTTTATTGTTAATGTCTTTCGTCGTCGTGGTTTCCGTCGCGTACTTGGAACAGATTTTCGTCGTAAACTTTTTCTTCTTCTTGAACCTTCTACAGCAGTCAGTTTTTCATCACTGTCTCGTATTTTTACTGTTGAATCTGTTGGTAAACTGTTACAGTTTGAAGTGTCTTCACTAGTTGAACTGCTCGAAATATCATTAGCCGTTTCGATGTCAACTTGTTGACACTGAAATGCATTTGCATTACAGTTTTCATATTTTCACCAAAGTTTTCAGTTATCAACCAACAGTTATTTTCTACATAACATCTCGGTAAACATAAAAAATTTTTTTCTTTGATTTAAAATCAGAATTATTTATTGCAACTTTCGTCAAGACGTCTTATTTCGCAAAAACATCCTCTGCGTTCAAAAATCGTATAGGTGACAGTTAGGCAGTTAGCAACTGCTGCTAACTTTTCCACCTTCTGATTATTTCTTTATACTACGTTAGTGTTGGCTTAGAAACATATTAATATTGTTAATATTTTTTCAGTTTATAAAACCGTTGTGAACAATTGTTCACAATTCGTTTACATTAGCCATTTCTATCATTAAGTATTTGTAAAAAAAAAAAGCTCTTAGCAATTTTATCCACTATAAGAAAA